AATGTCAGCTACCTTGCATCTGTCATGGTCATCTGATGTCAAAATGTAACTGGACTGGAACTGGTAAGAGGGCAGAAGGTATGCAGGGTCAGATATGTGGTCAGTTTGGCAATATTTCTCCCTCATGTTGATGTCTCCTATCCCCTGGTTCTGTCAATGCCCATGCTGGTCGAGAGCATTTCAACAATGTTTGTTATCCAACTACTACTACAACTAGTCTCATGAATGTATGTTGTCCACCACCACCTCCACTTCTGATGAACTTGAATACTGTGCAACACCTAGAGTATTTGCTATGAACAATTCTGTAAACTCCACATCACTGTATTCCCCCTTTGAAATTTTCTTTGTATACAGACCATCTTTTCCGCTATGCTCAGGTAAACCCAGCTCAAGGCATTTTTAGTGATGTTGACACCTGTTTTTACAACAGGTAAATTTGTCTCCATATCTGGCCTGGGTCCTTCTCCAGGTGTGACCCCATTCTCCTGTTATATATTATACACTCACCTTAACACCTACATAGTTATGGTCCATTTCCTGACTGGACTTCTCTATCTGTCATTAGAAAGTTGTAAACAAACAAAATATATTGAGGATACAAATACTATACAAATACTTTTATAATACAAATATGATATGACACCAGTTACCGACCAACACCTCAATATTTTTGGCAGAAGTGCAAGCTATCTACCTCGCCCTCACCCAAACAAACAAAGTAATGAGATCGGATATCTATTCAAACTCTCTTTCTATACTATACTTTCTGTACTTATATGTGTGTGTATTAATATGTTTGGAAAGGGCTTTACATAAGTTGTAAAACTTGTGCCCAATTCTTTTGCTACTTATATATAATTATATGCAATAAAATATGTTTAAATCAAACGTTGATATCATTGTTTTTCTCACATCAATGCCTTTGCTGAAAGCAACAAGTGACAAGACTACAACAATCATTGCATTAAATGGCATGTATCACATTACTAAAGTCACGGTTTATATCTCACCATTGTTGCATTAATCATTTTGTGTTGAAATTCTTACATTTATTCACATCAAGGCGTTGGCTGATAGCAAGCGGCGACAAGGCTACAAACAACCATTGTGTTCAGTTTTATGACAGGCAATATTTCTCCATCTTCATCAGCCATGCAGACTTCGAAAATTTCTTTTTTTTGTATATTCATATATTCTATTATTTAGTGAACATCCAGTGCAGTTGGTACAGGCAGATTGCTTTGAAAACCTGACAAAAGTGTAGTTAGTGATGTCTGAGATCTCTTTATTTTGATCTATTACGTGTACTGGAATAGACCAACTTGATAATATTTTGATCACAAACTAGTGGTCCCATTTCATTCATACTTAGACAAATACAGATATATGAAAGGAAGTAATTTTGCTGTGAATTTCTAACAATGTATTTTTGTTTCAGTTTCCCATTATATATTTTGGTGGTTGTCTAAAATGTTAGTACTGATATATAAAGGTTTTTTTATGTAATGACATTTGAGAGGACCAAAATGAAATTTGCTAATTTCGACAACATCAAATATTTAAAAAATGAGCTAATAACCATGGCAACAACCATGAATCAATAAATTTCTGGCATATACATATCCTTAGGTTCATACTCCAGTAGTTCACAATACTATGAATTTCGGTAATATTTTTTTTATTTACATCCATTGTCAAAACATTTGCTATTGATAGGAAGTTTATATTCTCTTCAAATGTTTAAAATTCTGATTGCTATGGTAACGTCATTATTCGTTAAAAGATTTGGAAAATTTGTTTTCCCATGTTTCTAAATATATGGGGGTTGCTTACCAAAAATTGATTGGAAAAGGATGAAAATTCATATTGAAGCAAAAATGACAGATTTTCTAAGTGTCATGAAAATTCCTGGAAGTTAGAACGGATTAAAGGCATAGGTATCTATGTCATTGTGATTTTTCTCTTCACCTTTGTAAAATGCCGACGATTTGGTAAAAAAAATGTATCCAATGTCTAAGATTTCTTTTAAACTTAATATCAAGTTTGCCCCAAGATGCACTACCACATGAGGATAGACTTTTTGCATGAACTGAAAAATGGCCGTCATGATGTTGTATTTGTTTTCTCTAAATTCCTCTAACTCAATAACGTTTCGGCTAATTAAATTCAGTTTTGTTTTTATTTTGTTAATCATAACAAAAGGTAACACATGACAAGTTTATGTGACAAACATCAACTTCTGTTTCTCAGTATGGGTCAACGTTCAAATGTGCGGTGTAGTATAAAAATTGTCTTTTCAAGTTCTACCAGGTCTAAAGTCTCAATATGTAGTATGCAGGTTGCTTATTAATTGGATATCAAAGTTGTAAAAATGAATGACCTTTTCATTTCAGAATATTTTATTGCATTGATCGTATGTACAAAAGGAATTGGGCAACAGGCAAAGCCTATATAAGCCCTCTCCTTACAAAATATAACAGTATATACATGCACATCACATATGAATATAACTTATACAGAAATTTCATGAATTATTAAAGAGTTTGGACAGGAAATTGTTTGTGCATTTCAGTGAATTTCAATGGACAGGAAACATTTAGTATCAAAATTATTGTAAAATTAAGCTAGTTAAGGGTCTAGAAAAATTGTTTGGTTTCTCTGATGTATTTCTGAACCGTCTCCTTAATATTAATATTCATATTAACGTCTTGAGGCTGAAAACCATAAATGAAAGTTTGAATATTGAGAGGAATAGAGTCATTTAGCGCTAACAAAGAGTTAAATAGTATTAGTCTTTGATTAGTATACAGAGGACAATGCAGGAAAAAATGTTCATGATCTTCGAATGGAGCACCACATGTACAAACAGGGCTATCATTAAGATATGAATTGAATAAATCAGATTTTAAATTATTTGCAAAATTTCTTAACTTACATAATGTTATATTAATTTTCCTATCACCATGATATTTAAAAATGTTACTACATTTTGGGAAAGCACCCACTTTCCACAAAAACAATGGTGATGGTATTTGTTTGATAGCATACTGATATCAGATGATATCGATTGAAATCATATATAATGTGTCAAACGTAAGCTTTTGATTTTCGGCAGGGTCAAATTTAGCAAGTGTTTCATCGGGTAACACTCTAACCAAAAATGCGTGTTTACTTCATCAATGTTTAGCATTTTGGTATGTATTTGGTAGAGAACCAAGTTGCTTGTTTGAAAAATTGGTTAAATTGTGAAGTTGGTGAACAAGTTTTAGTCTATAATAGTGTTAAGTAGTTAACAGGGTTTGATACACATCAGGTACACTCCCATAAAAGCTTGTATATCTGTGATTAAGATACAACCACTGATTCTAGGCCTTACACTGAAGTGCGTTGTTTTGTTGAAGAATTACTACACTTTTACTCATCCTTTCCACCCAGATACTTAATCGTTGATCATCACTAGCACCATCACATCATCAGACCGTTAAAACAACATATCAAAGTACCACTGTCACGTGACTTTACAACTATCACATTGAGCAAACAAGTTGACAAGTGAACTAAAATACACTGTGCCTTGAGTGTGGTCAGCAAGATTTTTTTCTCCGCCAATATATCGCCATCAAATTTTTGGTGAGAGTTTCGCCCTTCATGACAGGACTATGTCTAGACATTATGTCCACAGACATAACAAGTGAAACTTCACTAATGTATTAGGCACATCCTGATGTTGTGCACATACAGTTATTTCTTCAATCAGATTTTTTCATCTGTTACTCAGAAAACGGGCCACAAGGCACTCTAGAAGAGATTTTTCACGGGTTGCTGTCATGGTTACAGAAACTTTGCAAGGATTCTGATTGGTCATTATGATTAGGTTCAATTTCTTTTATTTTCTTTAAACCTGTCAAACTTGCAAACTTTTTCTCTTTATTTTTCTTTATTAAATGTAACTCACGTGGTCATGAAAGTCCGATCGATAAATTTATCTAAAGTAAGTTTTCTTATCTAGGTATCACGATACAAGTCAACTAAGTTCTCCGAAAATAAATCCTGACGTGCCTAGTATTCATGTGAAAGAACAGGGAAAATACACATTCCTGTTGAGAGCCCCAACCAGGAGTCAAACCCGGGTCTCTGGTGTGATAATCGACCGGTTCTACCAACTGAGCCAAAGAAGCATGCTCCGTCAACTCAGTGACAGAGACCGTATTTAACACTAGATACAAGCCACACCAACCCGCTCCTATTACATTCATACTGTACATTAACAAGATGAAAGTTTTATAAGATAGATGCAAAAATATACAATAAATGTACAACTAAATTTAGAATACAAATTGATTAATTATAGAATATGAATGGAAAATTATATAATATAAACGACATAACTTTAATTATGGTACAAATAAAATATAGAAAACAAACAATGAAAAGATTAATAAATATACATTTATGGAATACAAAAGAAAGATGAAGAATAAAAATGGAAACATATTGAATGAATATAGATATACATTGGCTGACATCCAGAAAGTCTGGTAAAGGGCTTATATGTCACTGTTGCCGTGAACTGATTTAACGGAACGGCGTGTCGGATCCTTTTCCTGTAATTAGTATTACCCACTTCCGGTAGTTCTTCAACTGTGAAGGTATGAAATATTAGTGGTTGAAATGCATCGATTTACCTGTGTTCGTATATCGATTTATTTAGCATAATTAACCTGTGAATTTACGTTCTAGCTGGACGGACACGTTCTTGCTTCAAAATGGATGGAAAATTTCAGGAATATGATAAAACTCATGAAAATGAAGATGACTTAAAACCAAACAAGCTGGATAGTTCGACTATGAAAATAAATGACACTGAAGAGTATGACAGAAATGATATTGACTTTAACAAGACAGCTTTTCCGAAGGAGGCAGACTGTAAAAATGGGGATGAATATAGAAGAACCAAGAAAAATGAAGATCAGACCGTAGCAACAAATTCATCCAACAACAGGACCTACTGGGCTGCCCTTTTACTTCTGACAATACTGTCTCTCGTCACAAGGCTCCACAAAATAGAGCTGCCGAAACACATCTGGTAACCATCAGTCATTGGTCTTATTCATTGTTTACTCTTGTTTGTTCACTTTTCATCACTTACTCGTACGTACTTATCGTTCAATACATAGTTTAACGGAATTTTTAGGTAACTTCTCTGGAGCTCTTTCATTACAGCGAGAAAATCCCTACAGGGTACAGTCAAAAAGGGTATATAAGGCTAGTGTATACTGTATCAGAGTTATAGATTTGTTATACATTTTCATGTTAAGGTAGAGACCTGTACTGTCTTGTATGCAGATATCACTATTGCTGAATTACAAGAGCTATTTTGATGTTATATTCAAATTGTCTTTTGCAGTGATATTTTGCACTCAGGATGTTTGAGTCCAGGACTTGCACTTTTTCTGTCTGACTCCTTCTCTTTGTTACTGGACTCATAAAAATTTTAAAAATGGTGCTCAGGACTCGACTGAAAAAACACCAAGAAAAAATTCATTATTCCACTGTTCTGTCCATCATTCCTTAGATCATTCTTGTTATCACTCCTTGTGAAGACGCACTTGATGGATCTTTCTCAGATTTCATATGTAGGTTCTCCTTGGTTCCTGGTTGTGCATTATTCCATTTTCTGATTGATCTAATAAACAACATAGCTGACAGGTGGCCATCTTGTGTTTTGGCAATAGGAGTTTGTCATCACAATTTCTTGATAAGTACTTGATGGATCATTCTCAAATTTAAGTTGTTGTTACCCTGTGGTACCTACTTATACTTTTGGTTGACCAACGGATGATCATCTTGGATTTTGACAGTAATATTTTGTTGTTGCAATTTCTAGATAAGAACATGTAACATAGATATTTTTCACATTTTTTTATGTACAGGTAGGTTCCACTTGGTTCCCTGTTGTGCATTTTCCCGTTTTTGGACTGATTAAAAAGCAAGAGGTTGGTTGGTTGAAAGGTTTTTCGTTGTTTTCCATGACTCCTCCTGTATTCAGGTATCATATAACTGACAAACTTAAGTTTTCTGACGATGTGAGGGACGACCTGCATCCCCCTCATTGGGATGGAACCATCTGTAGCTGTGATAATTTGATTATACTAGTCTTAGAAGACGGCTCCAGGGCCAAATATTCCCTTAGCCTAACTCTAGCAGTAAGAACATGTACAGAAGTTGAAAGGAAGAGTTTTGGGCCTTTCAAGATTTGGTTTGTGTAAGGTTAGTTTTTTTAGTCCATCTAATATTTTTAAAATAATTGTATTGACTGATACTATCCCTAGACCCCTGGGCTGGCATTATCACATGGACTGGTTTACAGTTGGATTTGGGTCTTGCACCCTGGCTTGTAGCATATGGAACCCTGTTATTTAGGACAATAGGGATAAACAGTTATCAATAATTAATATACAGACCTATCTAAAACTCAAAATCTAAAATCTCACACAATTAAACTCAACATACAATACAACACAACGCACAAACATACAAACCAAATAAACACTATACAAGACCCCAACCTTCACCTCCTTCCCCATTCAATCTCAAAACCCTATTTAAATAGTATTTCTATATATTATTGAGTTGTTGATTGATAATAGAATATACTTCTGTCTTAGATAATTTCACCTTATCTTCTATTGTGTTTTTCTGAAGTGATTTTTCATTTTCAGGTATATTGACATGTGATGGTACACACTCAAAAATTACCAAAATTACCTGTTGTTTTAAGTTTATCTAGATTCAATATTAGTTCTTTCGCTTTTTCAAGTCTGTATTGATTGTAACAAAGAAAGGCTATCTGTAAGAATTACTACTCTGTCTGTGGATTTTTTTATGTTAATAAGTCTAAGCGCTAATTCTATAGCAATGCTTTCATTGGTATAAACGCAGCACTGATCGAAGTTGTTTTTCTGCAGAATAAAGACCTAAGCTACTCTGTTAGTTTGTGGAATTTTTTGATCTGTCAGTATAATATTTGGTATGATCATTATATTTCTCGTCAATTATGGATAATGCAATTGTCCTAGCTCCTGCCGGATTTTCTTTTTTGTTGGTTTTGTCTAAAATTTCAGTGCTAATTTCCGGAGTGTCTAATTTCTAAGGCAGGATGGGATTTGGAATAATTTCTTCTATTTGAACTTGATCTAAATTGTGTTCAACGAGAAGTTGGTTTGTTCCATGGTTATATGGTGGTTTGTTGTGTTGTTTGGTTTATCTCTATATTTCATGTTCTTGGCTTGTTCGAATATAACATTAGGTGGAAATTCAGGTCCTATAGTTTAAGTTCTAGCCCAGTATTTTATTATTAATTTTTCTCTCTGAAATTTTTATTGTATTTCACCAGTTTCCGCATGTAGACTTATGGTGGGTGTTTTTGTTATTGTGCCTGTTGCTTTTCTACGTGCTGTGTGTTGTATTATATCTTGTGTTTTAAAGGTGTTATCCGAGGCCAAGTTGTAAATTTGGCATCCATAATCTATTTTTGGCCTAATTAATGCACTGTATATCTGTTTTCTGAAACATAAGTCATTGTGTTTAGAGCTTGTTTACAATTGTCTTTGATGTTATCTGTATGGGTACTCAGGTTTATTTTCGTTTTTGGTCAAAGATAATTTCTAAATATTGTTTTCATTTCAGTAATAATTATCATAACTTTAGTATGCAAATACAGTACCTACACCCATCTTTGTATCCCAACAACAAAAGATTCAAAAGAAAAACAATCCCGCCCTCCCTACAATCCATGAGCCATCAGGGCATGAACGCAGAGTGATCTCCCTTTCTCTTACCTTTATGGCTGCCGACGAGTGCGGAGGTGTCTGAGCTAAGTGCTTTTCTTACTCCTTCTCTTCGTACTGCCATTGTCGTTTGAGTATATTGTTACTCTATTAGTAGTCTATAAACCCATCTCCCAACTTATATTGTGAAATTAAGTATTGTCATTTGTTTATTTTGACCGTATTTCCGGCCGGTTTTTCCTCCACGTATTCGAGTGCGTGACTACTTGTCTCGTTGCTCGGATTTGCGTGAAGTTGGAATTTGTTTTCTCGCTGCTTTGTCGGCCGTGTTGTACGACCGTTTTATTAATGCAGTGCAATCTTGCTGTGCACGATAGGCTTTGTGCTCTCGTTCGTAGTTTTTTAATTTTTTTTGCAGTACAATCTTGCTGCGTACGGTAGGCTTTATGCTCTCGTTCGTAGTTTTTTGATTGTTAGGAAACTTTTTGTCCAGTCCAGATTTCCCTGTGCAGGGTTTCCCAGGGGGTTTTCCCCCAAGGGTTTGTGGCTTCAGGCCAGGAATCTGGTTTCCGGTCTCCCTTTCCCCCGGGCTCAGGGAGCAGGGGTGCCTGCGGGCACTTATTCCTGGGTCACCCAGGCCAACCTGCGGATGGTTTTGGGTACCAACAGTTACTCAGCAGTTACAGGCTTACCCTGTACATGTCTGGGTTTCCACCTGGTGGGAGTGGCGGTTCATCCTGGTCCTTTTGACAGGGTGTCCAGCCCCAGACTCAGGCAGGCCATATTGGCCAGTTCTGGGGTCACTCCCTGCCCGCTGGACCATTCCCATTCCCTCAGGGGTTTGGGTTTTACCCCATGGGTCTTCACTTGTGGAACCCATAGGGGTTGGTCTCTCCTCTAGGAGATGTTATAGCAGTGCGGAATCCCCCCAATGTTCTGCTACTTCGGGGGCCTTGTTGGCCGTTCCTATAAAGGTTTGCCAGACCTTAAGGACTTCCGCCTCCAGCGCGGACCCGTCGGTCTCCTGTTCCCAGGGGTCGGCTTCGGGTCTCCGACCCAAGCTTACAGCTACGACTGTTGGTCGCGCTGCGTCTAAACGCCATATAGAGGAGTTCCCCTCTCCGGAGATGGCTCCTCTGGCGGCCCCTGTTCCTCCCAAGGGGACTTCGGTCTCTATTGAGGAGGAGATGGACATAGAGGGTGCGGGCTCGGCAGAGGAAGACGATGTCATTCATCTTTCTCCTGGGCCAAGAGGGTTCACAACGGGTAGATGGCCCTGAGACTGCTGAAGTCGAGGCTCAGCATGTGCTTTCGGGGATGCAGGTCCTCCGGGCCAACATCCCCCGGATTCTCAGGGCGGAGGTTTGCCCACCGCCTCAGCATCGTCGACGCCTGAATCCACCATCCTTCTGGGTTCCCTGGTGGCTCCTCCTCGGGCTTCCGTTCGATCAGATCGGTCTCCGCCAGAAGGCAATATCATGTCTTCGGTTCTGGCCACGGCCCGGGCTCCGGTTTTAGAGAAGGACTCCTTCTCTACCCGCGCTCCCGGGTTTGTCGGTCTGCAGCTCAGTGTTGGTGAATTGTCGGAGGCTTCAGCTTTCGACTATGCCACACATGACGGGCAGTTGGCCTCTCAACCAGCACAGCTGGAGTTGAGACAGCTGGCTGCCTGGCCCGGCAAATCAGTGGACCAGGTGGTGGTCGATCCCAAAGAGCACCACAGGATGGAGATAATGTTGCACCTGTCCATCCAAGTTCTGTCATACATAGACTTCCTGACAGTTTGTCTATACAGGGTATCCGATTTGCCTGAGTGTCGGTTATCTGAGACAGAACAGCCGACATACAGGACACGGCAGCCTTGCAGGTTTCTCTGCTCATCAATGTCGTGTTGGCTAGGCAGTTTTCAGTTCTGAAATTCCGCCCAGTCCAGTAACCCTACCGTTTCCGCTTGTTGAATGCCCCCTTCTAGGGCTCTACCCTGTTCAGGGGAGCTCTTCCTTGGGTTCAGAAGGATATGAAGGAGGACTCGGTCGCCTCAGCACTTCTGGTGAAGAGGTTTCAGGCTGAGAAGGCCAGTGCCTCGCAGGGGTCAGTGCCTCCTAAGAAGAAGGCGAAGTCTTCTGCTGCTCGATTTTCTGCACAGCCCAAGTCCCAGCCTCACTTCAACGGCAACAAGGGGAAGGGTAGGAAGGGTAAAAAACCTCCTGGGGGCAAGAAGAAGGCTTCCTGACTATTTCTGCTTCTTGGCCGCGAAAGGCGAAGGGTATGGCCGGGTGGACGTTGGTTCTCCTGT